GCTGCAGCACCTGGCCCTTGAAGATGGTGTGTGTGTGTGTGTGTGTGTGTGTGTGTGTGTGTCTGTCTGTCTGTCTGTGCATACTGTAGGAGTCATGAACTGGTAAGATCCATGTGCTTCACTGCAGAAACCTGTTATATGAACAAAAATCTTTCCTTCTGCAATGTCTCTCCAATGCCCTCTTCTGACAAAATGTCAATGTCAGCTGGTAAAGGGAAATATATAATGGGCCCAGAACCATTTTCACAGAACCAGTTAAAAAGGGTGAATTTGGAGCTGAGAGGGAGTGAATTGATAACTGGCATGCCTAAGGAAGAAAAATGGTCATGCAGAAAATCGTGACTGGGGCTGGGGTTGTGGCTCAAAGGTAGAGCTCTTGCCTACCACGTGTGAGGCCCTGGATTCAATCCTCAGCACCACATAAAAAATAAAAATAAAGGTATTGTGTACAACTAAAAAATAAATATTAAAAAAAGAAAAATCGTGACTGATTGGAATGTGATTTTAAAAGATAGGCCAATTAAAAAGATAAATCAGGAGAATCACTTCAAGTCAGAGAAGATAAAAGAGCCATTGCTGATAGAATTTGATCATGACTAGGTGGAAAGAAGAAAGTGTTTTCCCCAAGAAAAGTCTAATCCAGAAAAGCTTGGGGGTGTGGGAGGAAACTGGAAGAAGCATTTCTGATGAGGAAACCAGAGGAACAAAGCATTGAGAATGGTGACTAAGTTGGACTCTTGCTATTTTTTTTTCTATTTTTCAAACCTCCCTATTTTGTGATTCAAATTTCTCACGTGGTAAAAATAATTACTTTTTAAAAAAACTTTGTTAGATGTATTGAGAGTGTTATGATTTACATTTCTCAGGCTAATGTCAGGGTATGGGGGCTGGCACACCTGGTTAAGTAGCCACCCCCATCAAAAGTGAAATTTTGGAACCATGGGAAATAAGTGTAGAATTAGATAGCACCTTCTTTAGTGCATTGAAGATAATTTAAGATCCATTTGATAAAAAAATGATTGAATTACTACAGGAAACTTTAATTTTAGGGTGTGCTTAGATGTTTCATTTCAGATTTCTGTAAATTTTATATATAATATTCCACTGCTGCTCAGAGATCACTGCTACTGATCATTGCCATAGGCCAATTGCCAACACCCAAATACCAAAGGGCTGATTTGGGAAAATGTTTTATTTCTCTGAATCCTGGGTGATAGACTCTTTTTAGAAAATGGTTTCTTCGGGCAAGTTGGTATTTTAGTCAAACAAAATATATACCTCTTCAGTCAATATCCTTCCTCAAGAGCACTTACATAGATACTGCATAAATAGGGTTCTGAAAGATCATATGGCAAACATCACCCTTTTTATGACAACATTGCACCCAAAGATGGCCCATGGGAATGTTAACTAGAACAACAAGGAAAGATTTATGATGCTAAGTCTGCCACTGCAAACATTTTATCTCTTGTTACAGCCATGCAAATAATTATAGTCTGTTGACAATGGGAAAAAATTACTGAGCTTAAAACAAATCAGACAGTAGTTAACTGTATAAAAAATTAAAATGAAAAAAATGTCAGAAAGCTTTGGATCATTTAAGTTATTAAGCTGTCTTAAAAGTATATGTAGGACTTGTGATTATATTACATTCCAGAAAATTCTTGGTAAACTCATTTATGTTTCTTGTATAATCATGCATAAAACAGAAAGCCTTCGCTATTTTTTTCCATGTCAGACTACAGGAGAGTTTCCTCACTCTATTTTTTAAAAATATATATTTTTTTAGTTGTATATGGACACAATATCTTTTATTTGTTTATTTTTTTTATGTGGTGCTGAGGATCAAACCCGGGCCCCACTCATGTGAGGCAAGTGGTCCACCACTGAGCCACAACCCCAGCCCCTCATTCTTTTCTGATCTCGTTAATATGTTACCATTATATTTGAAGAACAATGGAAGATACAGAAATATAGAAATGTACTAGACAACTCTTCTTAAGAATTCCAGGAAAACACACTAATTCATTCTTTTCTCTCTGTATTTGAGTAAAAAAATTTTCCCAATTAATTAACAGTTTATGCAGAAAACAAAAAATGATACACTTTTTACTTTAAAAAAACCTAATCACTGGACTGGGTTGTGGCTCAGCAGTAGAGTGCCTGCCTATCACGTGCAAGGTCCTAGGTTCAATCCTTAGCACCACATAAAAATAAATTAAAAAATAAAGGTATTGATTCCACTACATTCCTAGATTGCTTTTCATTTTAGGGCAGGGGGTGGCAAACTTTTTCTGTAAAACCAGATGGTAAATAGTTTAGGCTTTCTGGTCATTTCAGTCCTTGTCACAAATAAACAACTTTTCTGGTTTAGGTAAAGGCAGCTATGGACAATACATAAACACCTGAGTATAGGTGTGTTTCAATAAAACTTTATCTATAGACACTGAAATTTAACATTGTTTTCTTGAATCATTAATATTATTGTTTTACTTTCTTTAACCATTTTTTTAAAAATATATTTTTAGTGGTAGCTGGACATAAAACCTTTATATTATTTATTTATTTTTATGTGGTGCTGAGGATCAAACTCAGGATCTCACAGTGCAAGGTGAGCACTTTACCGCTGAGCCACAACCCCAGCCCCAATTTCTTCAACCATTTTAAAATGCAAAAACTATTCTCAACTTGTAGGCTTTACAAAAATAGTCATTAGGCCAGATTTAGCACATTGGCCTTAAGTGTATGATGACTCCTGGTCCCTTGACAATGCTACTTCTTCAGGGTTCAACCTTCACTCAATCATGGTCTAAAGGAAAATTCTACAACGATTATTGTGTTTGCAAAGTTTTCCATATAACACATTGAAAGCTTTAGGGATTATCAGTATATTCATAATTTTCCTTTGATTGTTCCACTTTATTAGCTGGTCCATCCATTGAAAAATATTTTAAGATTTTACAGGGTCTTTTAAAATATTAACATATAGAAGTTAGATCAAGAAACCAGAATAAAGAAGCCCAAGTTTTGTTTCCAGTTTGGGAGTTCAGTTCTTTGACTGGATAAATAATTCACATATTCTTTGCCTGGAAAGTCAGAATTGCCAGGTGTTGTTACTAAACAGTTGTATTAAGGGTTAAAGGACAGGGAGGGGGAAATTATGCTTGTGTCTTCCAGAGCTGTCACTTTTCAGGAAAAAAAAAGTATGATTTTTTTTTTAATGACATAACATACAACTGAAAAGATAATTGTTTCTAGAGAGAAATATAATGGGGGATTTTTTTTCCCAAAAAACATTTTCATAGAGAAGAAAATCTAAACTCAGGGATGAGATCAAGCAAACTATATAGCATAAAATACACAAATGTAAAACCTCATGATTTTCCTGTGTCTGCTATTACCAGGAGAGGTTTAGTTCAGGGGTCTGTAAAAAATGTTTTCTTCTTTAAATATAATGGTCAGAGCCAAGACATCATCAGTTCCAGACTCAGCCAGTTCCAGTTGAAAGTGTGAATGTTCAGCAAGAGGATATTTTTGAAAGGAGACAAAATCTCCTGTGCCAGATACCTGAAATGTTATTAGGGTATTCAGTGGAAAATTTCATTTCCACATTATAAATAACTGTAGGATATTTTAAGGGATCCAAGACTAGTAACTTCCAAGAGCTGCTTATATTAGTTCCACTGAAATATTTAATGGAGGGAGGATGCAGAGGAAGCCTATAAAATTGAATTACCGGATATGATTAATTAAAATAAATAATCTCACTATTGATTAAATCATCCTTAAAACCTCTAACCATTTGAGGCCTGCATATTTTCCTACCCACCAAGTAAAACAAAGAAAGGATTAAATAGTGATGCAGAAAGATTGGAAAAGTCCCCAAGATGATTTCTTAGATTCAAATGGCCCTAGAATTTCTTATTCTAAAAAGCCCCTCTGAGAGCTCATGTTTGAAATCTTAACTCTTTCCAGTGCCTCCAAATTTACGGGGAGTTCTCTATTCTGTGAACAAGTCCCAGAGAAGGTAGAATGTCACCTACTAAGGAATTTCTATCTTTGGTCACAGAAATAATTCATTTCCTGTAACTCCTCCCTTCCTTCGCAGTCCCCACACATTTAAAAACGAAACAAGTCAAACGCCTCTGTTAGTGGCACAACTTGCCCCAAATAAAACTGCCCTACTAAAGGCAGGAGTGGAGTGGGGTGGGGTGGGGTTGAGGGAGAAAAGGGAAAAAAAAGCCACACGTATGAGTTTTGTCATCATAAGTGTGTGTGTGGATGCGCAAGTTTACATGTGAGTGGGTGTGTAAGGCTTGCGGAGAGTAAAAACTTTTGTACAAAAAGCTCCTATAGTTTTTGAGGGGAAGCCTGGCTTCTCCTGTGTTAGCCGCCTGTGCCTGGGGAGACGTAAGAATGCACTACGCGCGCGCTGCGGTACCCAAGGTTAGAGCTCTCCCCTGTGACCGAAAAGATAATTAAAGTCGCACGCGCAGGACACAGTTGAGTTCTTCGCTGCGTTTCCAGTTGGTCAGGATAAGAGGGTTCTCACACCCTCGTGGCGCGCGGGGCACGGAGGCCACTAGGTGCGAGGAGTAGTTTGGGGAGGGTGTGTCACAGAGGTTGGCACAGAATTGTTTCTCCGTGTACAGGATGGTGGCGATGGCAGGCGGTCGTGGAGAGAGGGAGGGGGAGAGGCGCGGCGAGGAGGCTCGTGTTTATGGTGGGATCTGGGGAAAAGCCAGGAATTTAAGAGAAGAGTGGGAAAGAGAACGAAGGACGAGGAAGGCGTGAAGTTGTGAATGGAGAAAGGGAAGGTAAAATAAAGACCAAACAGAAAGGACAGAGTAGTGTCCCGCATCTCCATCCTTACCCGGGTGAGAGGGCACGCCTAGTTACCGCCCACGGTGTCTGCAAGCCCCTCAATCCCCCGAGCATGTCTTTGGCTGTGCAATCTGGGTCTCCAAGTAGCGCGACCACAAGTTCATCTTCTGCTTGAAATGGGCCCCGAGGTTCGCGACCGGCACCGAGAATCCTCTTCCGCGTCCCAGATGCCTTCGGAGCCCATCCAGGCCCCTGCCCAGGCGCCGACCCCCGGCACAGACTCATCCATTGGAAGTGGTGTTTTTAAGTGAACCGAGGGTCGCAGCAGGTCCCTTCAGGGTGAGGGAGGTTTTTGCACTGAGCAATAAAAACACCAAATAATAGGTATGTGAAGACCTTTAAATAAGATGGGAGGAGATAAGTAATGACTCAACCATCATTCCAATTTTTCATTTATTTTATAAAATAACTTATTACTGTCATATACCTTATTAGGAAGCATTGAAACTAGAACAAATGACTGTTCTTTTTGCAAACACGTTGTCAGGTGTTGGGAGGTTTAAGATAACTTAATAAACTGGAAACGTAAGAGTACACAACACAGAAGGTGAAACAGCCTCGTGTCCGCTTCTTGGGGTGCAATTGCCTCCAGCGGATTTCCCGGCTTTTGCGGGCGCCGCACATTGTTTTATTTGTTTTGAAGACTCAGAGTTTGAGGCTGGTTGGAGACACCCACGTGCTTCTGACTCTCATCAGCGTAATGATCGCCTTAGCCAAAGTCGTGTCTATATAAACCACAAAAACCTAATCATTAGAAATCCCAGCCTCCAAAAACCACATTTTAGGTAAAAATCTGCCGCTTTTTTTCCGCGCTCCTTCATCCTCTCGACCACAACCTTTTGGGGGATCCAAAGTCGCTTTTTAAACCCACATTGGGAAATAAATACATAAATAAATATCCATTGAAGCATTTTTTTATTTAAAAAAAATTTTTCCCCCTGGGAGCGGTGTGGAAGAAAGTTAAGACACTAGATTTAGTCGAGACGCAGGATAGATTTAATAAAAGATTGAAATTCATGGAAAACTGCTAGGGTTTTCCCCCAGCAAAGGCTTCTGCAACTTAATTATCAAGCTGATAGTTTTCCCAGTTTTTAAAAATACTCATCCTTGTTCTCTAGGAATGACAAGAATGAATATATAAGAAAAAAGAAGTGTTCGGTTCTCCACTTTAGTTTCTAAAAACTATTTTGACAAGCTCCCCAGCCTCTATTTTTTTTTTTTAAATGTCACCTAAAACAAAAAATACCCAAATCCAGCAAAATCTGTCTTTCCCTACCCGGAGCTGCTCCGGCAGAGGTGGGGGTGGGGTAGGGGAGGGTGAAGAGCGCTGAGAAGTCAGCACAGACACTCAAGTATTTTCCTTCCTCCTCTCCTGAAGTTACAACAAAAAATAACGACAGTCAGATCAGCCGGCTGCTCTCTGGCATCTCAGCTTCAACCTCATCGGACCAAGAAGGGGTTCCTCGTCCTGGGGTTGGGGGGAGAAAAAGACGCCCAAGCGAGATCCCCCTAGACTGGGGCCGCCTCTTTCGGCTTCGGCAGCTGAACTCGCGTGCCGGGGGCTCCTTCTCGCGGCCGGCGGGCGGCGGCAGCGGCTACGATTCGCAGGCTCGAGATCCGTTGCCCCGAGATCCGCTGCCCACGACTTACCCCCTAGCACCTCGAAGCGCGAGGGACCAAGAAGCTTTGCAAATAGCAGAAGGGAGTGGATGCAAGGAGGTGGCAGTGAGAGGGCGCGAAGAGAAGAAAAAGGAAGGAGCCGAGCTGGCAGCCGCCGCTGGAGGAATCTGAGAGTGCAGCCGGCGCGGGGGGAGAAGCAGCCGCC